TTCCTACCACTCGTAGTTGGGTTGGTGCCTTGTGAGGACCAAACCACTATTCGCTCACGGGTACCGAGAATGAGGGTTAGTATACTATTCCTAAGTTGGATTTGTCACTACCAATGCGTTGGTATACGCCATTTCTAAACTTTGATATCCTTGCGAAGATTGAGTGTGTGTGTGTGGGTCAGGATATTCTCGATGTATTTATTCATGCAATGTCATACATCATACCTGAGATGTTGTTTCCATAATGGGTGAACCATGCTCAATAGGATATCTCCTAAAGAAGGTACTTCCCAACCTAAATGCATATGAAATGCTCACTTGCAATTCAACAATCAAACAAGCATTCATCCAAGAACATATAACTTCAAGAATGAATGTCATAATGTCATGTCAGGTTATGAGGTGAGACTCACGCATGCAATGCAACCCGAGCCTTCAACGGTTCTCATAACACATGCAATGACATGCGTATGAATCCGAAAATTTCAAGCCCCCGCCATTGTTGTTGCACATCCAATGACTATTTTATAAAATGAACCATGTGTCTTTCTTCGGTAGGTTATTTCCTAGAATTGCACCAATGGTCCACCACATCAACACAGATTTTGGTATCCCACCTCCAGTTCCACGTACACCAATACTCTTTTTTGTACTTTCATCGTCAAAAATGTATAAACTAGTAACCGGGTCTTGCACCCGAGGGAGAGTCTAGCCTTTTTTGTTATACCCAGCACAAGTTTTCAATGCAAACCCATGTGACTTAGTCCGACCTAGGTCTAACCTTCCCGAGTCCAAGCCTTAACCACCAAGAATGATGTTTGGTCCAAAAACATGCACACATCCACACCCATGTAACATGCCCATGAATGTGATGTTTCCCGTGTAAATGCAATATAATGTACAACTGTATTTCATATCATGATGCAACCAAAATTTCAATTACAATAACAACTTCATGTTCAACATGTCATGAGCACAAATATGAGCAATTCCAATTCCTTAATATAACTTATATCATAAAGCATATAATTACATTCCAACATCATCACATTCCCAAATTTTTAATTATATCAAAGGCATATAATTACAATCCACATTCTTACCACACATGTTACAATATTTTCAATGTAATAAACATGCTATATTAACATAGACATTTTATCGAACACTTTCAAGGCATACAGATAAACACATAGCATGTCCAATCAACACATTTCTCATGAAATTACCAAAACAAGCAATTTTACCTAAAATCCAATTCATGCAAAAATGGTTTTATGCATTCTTATACGATTTCTTATACTCTAGCTACACTAAAAATACATTTTGACAAGAGATTTTAGCTCAAGTCATAATACTCATTTTATATGAAACCCTAGGTTGAAAATAAACCTAGCTAGGAGAAGAACCCTACCTCTTAAAGAGTAATACAAGTGGTAGAAAGATCTCAATAACCCAAATCAAGCTTCAAGCCTTGATTTTCAAAAATCCTATCTTTGAGACTTTGTCAAAATCCCCAATTTTTGGTATGTTTTTGTAGCTCACGTGGGGTTGAACAATCTTTGTTCTTGGCCCAAAGCGATTTGACGAACGGAGAGCCATAGATCTTAGAGAGAAGGTTGAAGACCCTCCTTCTTCCCTCTCTTCCTTCCTCTCTCTTTTCTGAAAATTCAAGGTTGAGAAATAGGAGAAAAATCTTATTTTTCCCGTCTTTTACTGATCCGATGTTGTCCTGAATCAATTAAATCTCATCCCGTTTTAAGTTTAACATATTTTATTTGAAATAAATTTAAATTATTTTTTACGTTTCGCAATTAATTAGCAATCATATTTATTTTGGTCACATGGCACCCATTCGCCTCGTAAAACGTACAAAATTTGATTGTCTCATAATTTAACAAAAATTGACTTAATAACTAGATTTTGTGACACGAATTCAATGGTGAGGTCCATTTCATCATCCGAGTTTTGGAAAATTTTAGGTTTTTAACCCATACCATAGCAGCTAATTACTATTTTCTCCTTTTTCATAAAAATTCAAATTTTTCTGAGTTTTATAGAATCACTAGAGGTAGCCTTTGGATTCTAGGGATCTAGTTTGTGGTTCAAACATATTCATACTTCAAATTAAAATTAAACTAAAATTGAAATTACAAGTACAAGAAATTACCTTAAATTAAACTGCAATTCATGTATATCATTAAAAAGAAGTTAAAGTATTCTTATTGCAAGAATTGAAGAACTAAAAACATAATAGAGCTTTGAATTGAAAACAATGGAAGAAATCTTGAAAAAAAAAAAAAAAAACCCTAATTCTAAACCTAGGAGAAGAATAGAAAAACTAAAGAACGTCTAAAGAGTGATTGATCGATGATGTCTTCTCTCTGGTTAGGCTTGCGTATTTATAGGAGAATATCTACTGAAATCCTCTATTTAATCCACCAATCATGGCTCTTTTAAATCCCAATAGACAACTTTCAAAAGGAGTCCATGTAGTGAAAAAACACAAACCTACCGATAAAAAATACAAAACGACCTACCGATAGGACCATAGTTGTTAAAATCGTCTGATTCATGAGTCGAATTGTACAAGTCGATTCGATTCATGGGATGGCCGATTCGAATCTTATGGTTGAATTATTTTGGGTCTGGAATTGGAAGAGAGTCGCATGAATAGAACCGAATCAGAAGTATCGTCCAATTCGTTCTTTTTTTTAAACCAACATATACATCAAAACAATGCTTAGGCAGTCAAATGACGTCGTTTGTTTGCAAGGACCCACTCATTTTGCCTCTCACATTTTCTGTTGAGGGAGACCCACGCACCACGGTTGAAGCTTCATCAACCTTTGAGGTACATCTCTTCCTCTTCCTCTTCCTCTTCCTCTTCCTCTTCTTTTATTCTACTTCTTCTTCTTCTTCTTACCCGCAACCAAACAATAACAGCAAGCCTTACGTCTTCTTTAAATATTGCTCTATTTTTACATAAGCTATGGTCTATTTTTTTTATTGTTGTAGTTTCTTAGTTTCTATTTTTTGTTCGTTGTTGTGACCTATGGATGGAGGATTTTACAGTTATGAATGTGGGTTTCTGTATATAAACAACATGAATATGGGTTTCAAACTTCAAATGATACTATGGTTTTCACATTAGCAATGCTCTGTTTTTTCAATGCTTTGTTGTAATTTCTTTTTTTTTTTCATTGTTGTGGGTTGTAAGTAGAGGATTATTTAGTTATGAATGTATATATAAAGTATAAACTATATGAATGTGGATTTCAAACTTCAAATGATACTTTATTCTATTGCACTATTTTTGTAATTATTTTCATTGTTGTAGTTTCTTAGAGGATTTTTTCGTTGTTGTGGCCTGTATGTAGAGGATTTTTCGTTGTTATAGCTTCAAATTATACTCAAACTTCAAATTGTTAATTTTTAAACTATATGCTATATTTTTTTTTTTTTCGCTTTCCAGTTGTTGTTGAAAATGGTAAAGAAGAATATAAAACCGAAGCAAAAAAAGAATGAAGATCCGACATGGGATCATTGTTCTCATGTGGGTGATAATAGAATGCACTTGAAGTGCAATTATTGTGGCCTTGACAAATGGGGTGGTGTGAGTAGAATGAAACATTATTTTGTGGGAACCCATTTTGATGTAGCACCATGTACCCAATGTCCACCAGATATCACACAAAAATTCCTCCAAATGTTGGAAGATGCGAAAGGAAAAAATGAGGATCTTAATGAATGCTTCATAGAGGATGTTGAAAGTGAGACCCGAACCATGGATGTTTTTGTGATTAAAGACGAGGGGAAAAATGCTAGAGGAAGACAACAAATATTAAATGAATTGGTGAAGAAAAGAGAATCGGTGATTCAAGACATATATCATTTCTTCTATGGACATGCACTAGCTTTCAATTTAGTTAAAAGTTCATTATTTGATAAGATGACAAAATTGGTTGGTGAGTATGGCAAGGGATTAAACCTATCTAGCTATCATGAGGTTAGAGTTACTTATTTGAAGAAATAAGTAGAAAATGTTAAGGTGAGTTTGGCTAAATAAAAAATGGAATGGAAGAAAAGTGGGTGTATTTTGATGTCGGATGGGTGAACCGATGGGAAACAACATTCACTCACAAACTTTCTTGTTAATAGCCCTAGTGGAACGGTGTTTCTTAAATCAATGGATACTTCCGGGGTTATAAAGGATGTTAATAAATTGTTTGAGTTACTTCACTCAATGGTGGAGGAGATTGGAGAGGAGAATGTAGTTCAAGTGGTGACAGATAGTGCTTCGGCTTATGTAGCAGCTGGTAGGTTGTTGAAGGACAAGAGGAAGAAGTTATTTTTGTCTTCTTGTTCTGCTCATTGCATTGATTTGATATTGAATGATATTGGTGATTTGCAGATTTTTCATGACACCATTTCAAAAGCCAAAGAAATTATAGTTTTCATTTATAGGCATACTTGGGGGCTTAGTAATTTAGAGAGCTTTCAAACAACATGGAATTGACATGACCGGCGGTTACAATATTTGTCATTGCATTTCTCACCCTAAAGAGTTTTGATGATAGGAAGTCTTGTCTTCGACGCATGTTTTCATTGTAAGATTGGGCTAATGGGCCTTTTCCTTCAAAGATTGAAGCTAAAAAAGTGGAGAGCATAATTTGTATGATAAAAACTTTTGGAAAGCAATCAAGTATTGCTTAAAATATGTGATTCCACTTGTTAAAGTTAGTCGGGATATATATATATATATATATATATATATACGAAGCAATGGATAGGGCTAAGGAACAAATTGCCCAAAATTCCAAAGAAAAGAAAAAAAGGTATGAAAAAATTTGGAAGATTATTGATGGTAGGTAGAACACGCAACTTCATAGACCACTTCACGAGGCGGGGTACTCTCTTAATCCCAAGTAAGTTCACAAAAACACTTCCTATTTACATTTACTCATATATAAATTGGCTTGTATAAGACAATTGAGAAAATGTACCCGGATATCGAAACAAGAATATCTCTTGACGAGCAACTAGAGAAGTTCAAGAGGGCTAACGGTTTATTTTCTATGAGCATGGCTGTGTTAACTAGAGACAAGAAACAACACAGTAAGAATTAAAGAACATGGTTTTACTTTTACATTATATATAAACTAACCTATATAGGTATCTTGTTTAAATATTTTAGTTTAAATCTTTGTTTTTTATAGCTTTGTGGTGGGAAAGTTATGGAGATGATTGCAAAGAACTTCAAAGACTAGCTATAAGGGTACTAACTCTCACGTGTAGTGCTATGGGATGTGAGAGAAATTGGAGTGCTTTTGATCATGTGCATTCTAAGAAAATGAATCGCTTGGAGCAACAAAGATTAAATGATCTTGTTTATGTGAAGTACAACATTCATCTTGAAATGAGACAATTGAAAAGGCAAGAAAAGAATGAGACATATGATCCAATTTATCTATTGGATATGGAATCCGATGATGAGCAGATTATTGAGAGTGAAGATCCATGTCTACCAGAAGACAACTTATGGATGGATATTCATGAATGTTTTCAACTTGATGAAAGTGCATCTTCTAGCAAGAAGAGAAAAATAGGTATTCTTTAATCTTTATTATTTATTATATTTATATATCGTGTGTCATTTAGTCATTTACCAATTACTATTTGTAGGACAAAGGAACTTGAATGCTATTAAAAAAGGCAAAGCTAAAGTTGTTGGGATAGATAATGATGAAGATGATGGTATTGAAATGGTTGAGATGAGGAAACGGAAGAGGATAAGGAAGCAGAGATGGTTGAAGTAGAATAAGATGATGATAATGAAGATCTTGACCTTGGAGATGATGATGATTGAAGGAATTGACTAGTTCTACTTTTTTGATGAGTCTTAGAACTTGACTTATTTTGGTCATTCAATTAGAACTTGACTACTTCTAATTGTCACGTGCATATAATGTTTGTCACTTTAATTCATCAAAGAGTGAGATTCATTTTGAGTTAATAAGGTCGGTGAATTGGAAGACAATGTTATTTATATGGTGAAAATTAAATATTAAAGGAAACCTCATCCTAGTATTTAAATGGGTTGATGATGTCCTCTTGAGAAAGCTCATAAGTTTTGTCCATGTCAAACCCTACAGATGGATTTAATTATCCGACATAACAAATAAGTTGAGTGGTAAGGTCTTAAGGAATAAAAAATGTCAATTAAATATAATTATCTGTAGTTTATTTAATTGATGAACATCCGTAATCTTAAACGTTGGGAGATTATTAAGCATATAATAATAAGGAGCTCGAATATAATTTTGAGATAAAACTCAAGAGATCAATAGTAAATTTTTAGTGGACTGACTTATTATTAATGGGTTTGTAGGATGTTTATTCTAGTTTAAACATGGAATCATAATCCAATTAGAAGCCTGATACTTATTTCTTCTTAGGGTTTTTGTCGTAGTCTATATATTGACGTCTAGACTCTCTAAGTCAACATCTTTCTTGACTCACATTTTTTAGAGAGGCTGAAAGAGAGAGCAAGGATTTGTAGATCTTGGCAGCCCACTCTGCATCCGGATTCTGACTTTTGAGGATTTACAACAGAAGAATGCGAGGATTGTCGAGCTGTCCTTCGGTTGCTTGTTGTTCTATTCTACGTTTTTTGCTGAGACAAGATCAAACCCGAGGGATTTCGAATGTAAACCCTAATTCCGCCTTGTAGGGTTATAAAAGAAAATTTTTGATATTCAATATATATGTGTTGTCTACGGTTCTTGTGATTTCCATTCCAATAGGCTCTACATAGCTAGCTTACTCAGACACCTAACTTCAAATCTTTCCTAACTCTATCTTTGAAAGCACAATAGGCCAACTTGGATTCATCCTAATTTCCTCCATATACGTCTCTGCCTGAGTTGATGTTTCTATTGTTATATGTGTTTCCACATCTATGCCTACCATTATATGTTTTGATTTGGCATGTTTGTTGATTATGTATTTTTGAAGCATAAATAACCCAATCACACCCTTTCTCGCACATGGATCTCTCCCTAACACTATCATTCTTAACTACTGTTATATTTCTGTGTTGTTTAATTTTATACTCTCTAGTAGCTTTCTTCAATTCAGCTGCAAATATGAATAATATGCCCAACCTAAATTGAGGATCTATCATGTCTATTTCAGGCCTGAATTCTTTGAAGGGCTACTTCTTAGGTGTAGCTTTTTTTCATCAAAAGAACTGACCAAAGCTGGTTAGCTAATCTAAAGCCATACTATCTGGATTTGTATCAGCAGGGACAGGCCGACCTTATAGTATAAAAATAAGGGAAATTTGGAGGCTGGTCCCCCTATGTGGACTTGTTTGGAGATAAGTCCGGCAAGAAAACTTATTGGAATCTAAGTCTGTGTTAAAACTTATATGTAGGTACTTAAGTCCATTTTTTTTTTAAATCTCAAAATTACCCCTAATGGTGTTAGTTTTGTCCAATTATAGAAAGTCCAATAGGTTATATCTTTAAAGTATATATAGAAACCTTAGTTTGAGTTATATATGGAAATCATTTTTCATTAAAAATCCTAATAATTAAATAAAGAATATATGGAATGTATATACTTTGCTAGCTATATATAGAAACCTAATTGACGAATTAATTCAAATCACAAGTTTTCCTTATCAATTCAAATTCAAATTCGAATTCTTAATCAATTTTAGTATGTTATACTTTTGAATAACAAGTTTTTGTGTTTGGCAAGGGGTTTGAAGGTGATAGAAGCAGTCGCAAGACTCTATGTTACTAATGATGTTACTGCCAAGGTTACTATTTAATGATCATTACATACAGTAACCAATCGTGCAACAATATTACAAATTCACTTGATAATGAATAATTACAATGGATTTTAACATATCAATTCCACATACAACACAATTTTAGCATTCTAAAATTGAATGGTTATGTTAGTTGGAATATTTTTTAACATGTTACTATTTGAGTTACTGTTGCACTTACAAATTGGACAGAATTTCCTTTGTTTTCCAAACATTCCATTACAAACAAATTGTCAAACTTATATCAACATATCAATTTAATATCAAGGTGTAACATCCAAACCACAATTCTACATGTTTGAATACTCCATTTAAACTAAGTACCAGTCAATAAACAATTACAACCAACTTCTAATCAAGCTTACAAGTAGCTAAAGAATGGATAGCTTTACAACATCACCAATTTTTATTTTTTTGGTATCTTTTTTTCAATCTTGATCTTGTCTCGTAGTCTTCAACAGTCCATACATTCATATGGTTTATGAATGTAGTCACCATATGTATTCGTAAAGCATTAAGTTGTGTTGGTTTCAATTTCTTTTTTATTTCCTGTAATTGCCATCAACCTGTAGCACAACGTTGTAATATCAATATGAATATATTGGACAGTTATAATATCAATATCTTACACAAACATATAGTATAATGATACAAAATAGTAACACACAACATATGGTAACATACACAATAGTAACATACATAATATAGTAACATGATACCGAGCATAATGGATATAAACCAATTGTGAAAAATTTAGTGCAAAAGTAACATTAACAATTCCACCAAATTACATTATGTAAATATAGTAACATCAGGTTAGTAACATCAAAACACACAATTCAATAACATCATTTTTCAATACACAATTCCATTGCAAATTCATTGTGCTCCTTTTTTACATTTAAAATCAAACATCAACCCCTGAACTCTTCATAAACAACATATAGTGCATTCAAAGTAAAAACCAAAAAGGGAGTTGATCAGTAACATGTCTACAGTAACATCAATTTGTCAGTACCATCCACAGTACCCAAAGCACAAGCATACATTGAAAATATGAATTCAATTTTTCAGTTATCACACAGTAACATTAAAAGGTTCAATGTACTCTTGAACCAATGGTTTTCGAATTTCTTGAACAATGAAGAAAACAACAAAAAATTTACACATGTAATTATATAATAGACTTTTAATTCAGTAACTACATTTTTCATTATACAATTGTTTCCATTGGAAATCCATTAAGTCCCTAAGTTACAATTTTTGGAATATAAATAACAGTGTTCAAAAGTAACTTGAACATTTTTTTGAGGAAACTAGTGATATTTTCCTTTTCGTAACCAATAGATTGTGCATTAAAAGTAAAAATCAAAGGTTGTGATCAGTAATACACGTGCAGTAACATCATTTTCATAGTAACATCCACAGTACTTAAACACATCAATCCATTGAAATTAAGAAATCAAATTTTCATGTTAAGACAGAGTAACATGATATATTTCATGTTACTTTGAAACAATGGTTTTTGAATGTCTTGAACAACGCATAAAACAACAAAAAAATGTTCACATGTAAATACATAGCACATTAAATTAGTAACACTAACATGAATAGCTTCATCCCAAATGCTATATTGTATTCACAGTAATATCAAATTTCAAATGGTTATAGTAAACATACAATTCTAAAATTTAAAATTTTAAAAATTCTCAATTGTAGCACACTGTCAATGCTTGAATTAGAACACTCAACACCGATCAATAACATCAAGATATTTAAATTATGAGATAAATTTATTCAACTCCTCACATAGTAATCTCATATATTTGACAAAAACACAACTAACGAATTTCAACTATCAAACACATCAAAAAGAATGACAAAAACAAAATACATAACACTTTTATTGTAGTAACAATCCATCTTAATTTTAATGTTATTAATGCAAAAAATAAAAAATAATTAAAAAAAAAAACCCAGATGACAGTAAAAATGACACATCAGGCAATGGGTTTTCTAATACCCAAAAATGTACATTAACATTCATCTAAAATCACATACCTTTCAATCTTTTTATGAATCCCAAAGATTGTTGATGATGATTTGAATGTAGAGACAGCAACAATAACTTCTTCAATGAAGTCTAGATTAAACTTTGAAGAGTATATTTAGATTTTGCTCTTATGGTATGTAACTTTTTTGAAATTTGAATAGGATTGGTTTGGATAATGACAGTTACTGGTTTTCAGGAAAGAAATTTATGGAAGATTTGATGAATATTGTCGGATTTCAAGGCTTGAAAGAAGGGGAAGTTTTGGTTTACAGTGAGAGAGTTAGAGGGTTTTATCGTCTGAGAAAGAGACGGCAAATTGGATGTCATTTATGTTTTTCTAAAAAAGAAGGGTACAATAGTAAACTTGTCAAAAAATGGACTTATAATCAAATAAGTTTCCTTGCCGGATTTATCTCCAAACAAGTCCATCTAGAGGGACTCACCCCCAATTTTCACTAAAAATAAAAGTGTGGTTTTTAGGCCCTACATATAAGAAAGGCCCCAAATTTAAATTTTTAAAATGTAATATAAATTAAAAAATAAAATTTATTATAATATAGCTTACAAAAATAATTTTTGAAAGAATAAACCAACAAAAAAATTAATAATTTGGGCCTAAAAGTCCATACCACCTCACACAATCACATTTATTAAAGGCAAAAAAATATTAACAAAAAAAAAAATTGCCAACAATCCATCTCTTTCTCCAATTGAAAAAAGTATAATAAACATCTCTCTTTAGTTAAAAAAAAAAAATCAAACCAAACACATTCTCTACTTTTAAACTTTTTTTTTTTCTCATTTGAACGCAAAATACCGGTTAAACCATTTATCCTCATTAAAAAAATATTTTGATAAACTTCTTATTCATAAAAAATAAAATATAACAAAACTTTAGGTGAAAGTTGAATAAATAAATAAGT